TGCTTCTATAGAGAGAGTGATCTACAGATTACAGAACATTCTCCATATATCTTTCCTGACTTACGTACATTCACAGTTGCATGAACTTTCTTATCCTGTATTAAAAACATTATTTACCAGGCCATCAAAGGATTTTAGAATATATTCTACTAATTTCAGCATGGTATAATATAGAATTTATTGGTCTCTAGGGAACAAAACAGTTACGTAAAAGATAATATCTCTCATATCCAGAAATTAATCCTCTAAAAAAGAAGCACAGGGAAAGAAATAGGTTAACACATAATTTTGTTTTTGTTTGACTTGGAAATTAAAATATTGTATTTATTGTTACCCATATCCTTAAAATCACACTGTTAAGAAAATGTATTGTTTTGAGCTACAAAAACCGTCCACTTAGTATATCTCTTTTTGAAGTTTTTTCTCTCTAATTTGAGTCACATGTTAAAGGTAAAGAAAGTCCAAGTTAATAGTGGTTGTTTCATTTCTCTTGTTTAACTTCCCAGCCTGAGTTTCTGCTTAGTACTTGTTTGGGCATGAGTATTTGTCACTTGTAAATGTTGATTTTAAATTATGGCTTGTACTGGTTTAGTTCTATTAAAGGTGAAGATAGTAGGTTCAAACATTTCATCCAATACAGCTTTGTTTAAACCCAGAGTTATATGTACGTGTTTGTATATTGAGTTTTATAAAAATTCAAGGATCGCCATCATGATCATATGTTTAATGTGTTAAAAGTAGAGATTGTGCCTTGATGTTGTCCAGAATTCCTGATAAAACCCTCTAGCCTGTTGAAAGCTGCCATATCAATGGAGTCAGTATTTGAGAATCAGGAAGAATTTTGCCCTGAAGATCAGATAACAATGAAAGGATAATAAAATAAATCCTTGTAAGATTCTTATATCTTATATTCTGACCAAAAAAAAATAGTATGGTATACTCTTCATTACAGTAAGATGGTACCCAAAATTAAAGGTTATCTTAAGCTCTCAGAATCCTTCCTGTAATCCTACATCATTTACAGTCTCAAACGCCATTGGGAACAGTTCTGCGCTGTTCTATAGGGTTGCTTAGTTGAAATCTACACAATGGGAATAGGTTTGGTTTATGATCATAAGATGTCAATATGATTTCTGTGTATTCCATCTGGAGAAGTCCACATGCATAGTTGCCATCTGAGTTGTTGTAAAATGGTATTTATCCTGAAGAAGTTGTTTCTTGCGAAATTCTATCACCAGCTTTGTTTCTATCACCACGACCGTATTTTCATGATAGAATCTACTTTCTCATTGTTTCCAGTTTTTGCATTCCAATTGCCAATAGTTGGCAATGCATGTTGGTTGCGTGCTT